GAGGTACCACTGTATAGCATATATTCAACACAAAAAAACAGCAACAATTTGTTGTTGACAAAAGACAGCTGGACATATAAAGAGCCCCATTACCTTCAGTACCTTAGGGCCTCATGAAACCTAAATCCGGCCCTGCACAGAACATACACACACCCATGATTCGCGATACAGCGCCGGGTTGATAATTATGACACCAATATCCCGATACGGATTTCAAACCGGTTTGGGGCGATATATTGCCCAGCCCTATTCCCTGGAGAGAAGGATTGCTAAACCACTGTGAGGATTGGAGAAAACAGTTTCCCTTGAAGTTCAGCAGCACGAAACGGGACTCGCCCGCCATTCTCTTGAAACTGAAACTCCTTATGTTTTCAGTGTTCCTACATGCTTAGCTTTGGAGCATACAGAATTCTTCTGCAGAGTGACCTTAGGAGCCAATCCTCAGTGGATGATTCACCTCCTTTCACGCTTATTGGCTCCAGTCAGGGCAAAGGGGGGAGAGACTTTTCAGTGGCTAAAGTGCTCCCTTTTTGTGCTGACTTGTGGTTCTAGGATGCTGGACACAAGACCCCTGCTACAGAAATAGTACGGGTTCTTCGAGCCACTAGAATCCCAAAGCACTACACCTTTGATTCCCAGGCCTGACCTAAAGGTAAAGGGACAGTCGTGGACGGCTCTGGGGCTGCGGCGCTCATCTCGCTTTACTGGCCGAGGGAGCCGGCGTACAGCTTCGGGGTCATGTGGCCAGCATGACTAAGCCGCTTCTGGCAAACCAGAGCAGCGCACGGAAACACCGTTTACCTTCCTGCCGGAGTGGTACCTATTTATCTACTTGCACTTTGACGTGCTTTCGAACTGCTAGGCTGGCAGGAGCAGGGACCGAGCAACGGGAGCTCACCCCGTCGTGGGGATTCGAACCGCCGACCTTCTGATTGGCAAGCCCTAGGCTCAGTGGTTTAGGCCACAGCGCCACCTGTGTCCCCAAGGTACCACTGTATTTAAATAATTAAAAAAATAGGTTTCAAACTCATTTATTTATTTATTTATTATATTTCTACACTGCCCTTCATCCAAGAATCACAGGACCATTCACAGTATAATAACAAAGAAATACATACCATAGTAACACCCCCATCGCGGGGATTTGAACCACCGACCTTCTGATCGGCAAGCCCTAGGCTCTGTGGTTTAACCCACAGTGCCACCCGTGTCCCTTAGGCCTGACCTATTATATGTTATTGTGTGAAACCAAACCTTCGCCTCCGGGAAAACTAACCAGTGGAAGAAAAACCAGGAGGACCTCTCTGAACCAAGATTTTGCTGGAATTGAATTTCCACTCCTTTGCCTTAAATTTCTCTTTGGGATGCTTGTTCAGTTCACGCCTTACCTGTTCTACCAGACCTAGAAACTCAGAACAATACTCTTTCAGGCTACAATCACACCCTTCACTTTGTTACTCCCACAAAGTTTCAGCTCACCTCCACACCCACAATCCATCCCCAAAACAAAGTTTCCTTCAAGTTGGGCAAACAGAGTTTCATCTGCTCTAAAGCACCATCTAACCCTTATATAGTTCACTCCACTCAACAACCATATATCATTGATTCATTTGGTTTATCCGTCTGCAGTCAGGTTCTCACCCTTCAGCTTCCAGCTACCCTCTAAGACAGGGATGGGGAAACTGTTCCGGCATCTCATGACTGACAGGTCAAAACCCAGGCAGGCAGCTGTCAGGCACTTGGGAATCGGGGCACAAGAAGCATTTCCTCCCCCCACCCCACTGCCCATCACAAAAGGATGTTCCAAACATTGAGCAAGTATATTCCCCTTGTTATCAGCTGGCCTTTACCAAAGACAGAGCCTGCCCGTGGAACTCCTTGCCACTAGGAGTTTGTCAGGAGTCCTCCCCGTTTTCTCTGAGCTACCTTCTAAAGATTGTTCTGTGACAAGAACTTTTGTAATAGTGCGCCAAACATTGTTGCAGACCTTACTCTGATGTACTTTGACTGCATAGTTCTGTATCCACTACATGCTTTCTATAACTCAATAAAAAAATCATTTACAGTGGTACCTCGGGTTAAGTACTTAATGTGTTCCGGAGGTCCGTTCTTAACCTGAAACTGTTCTTAACCTGAAGCACCACTTTAGCTAATGGGGCCTCCTGCTCCCGCTGCGCCGCCAGGACACGATTTCTGTTCTCATCCTGAAGCAAAGTTCTTAACCCAAGGTACTATTTCTGGGTTAGCGGCTTCTGTAACCTGAAGCGTATGTAACCTGAAGCGTATGTAACCTGAGGTACCACTGTACCAAGCAAAAATTGTCCTGCCCACACAGGCCTTTGGATTGTGAATTTTTATCAGCTGGTTTTTACTGCTGTTATTGTTGTCGTGTTCTGTTTTTCAGTTACACACACACACACAGGAAAAATGTTGTTTATCAGTACAGTCAAATCTTGCTTCTCGAACACCTTGGCACGCGTACATTTCGGCTCCCGAACACCGCAAACCCGGAAGTGAGTGTTCCAGTTTGCGAACGTTTTTCGGACACTGAACGTCCAACACGGCTTCCGGTTGACTGCAGGAAGCTCCTGCAGCCAATTGGAAGCCACGCCTTGGTTTTTGAATGGTTTCGGGAGTCGAACGGACTCCCAGAATGGATTACGTTCGAGAACCAAGGTACCACTGTATTTAAATAAATAAAAAGATTTCAAACTCGTTTATTTATTTATTATATTTCTACATTGCCCTTCATCCAAGAATCACAGGGCCATCCACAGTATAATAACACAGAAATACATACCATAGTAACAAACAAAAAGAACACCTCTCTCCACCAACAGTTTAAAAGGCCGCAGATTGTTTAATTAGCCCAAGGCCTAGTTGCAGAGGAATATTTTTTCCTGGCACCTAAAGATATGTAGTGAAGGTGCCAGGTGAGCCTCCCTGGGGAGAGCATGCCACAAACAGGGAGCCACCACAGAAAAGGCCCCGCTCTCGTGTTGCCACACTCCAGACATCTCACAGAGGAGGCACAGGCCCTGAAGAAGGGCCTCAGATGATGATTGCAGGGCCTGGGTTGGTTTATATGGGGAGAGGCTGCCCTTGAGGTATTGCGGCCCTGAGCTGCTTCATATTGCAAGCTTGAGGGCAGGCAATGGTCATTATTCCTGGTATTTGCAATTGGTGTCTTTTCTTAGCTGCAGGAGCAGGCTAAGTGCTTTAGAGACATTAAAATGTGCCCCAGTTCTATGCAGAGCACAACCCTGAGATCAGCAAAGATAAAATCTATCCTCAGACCCTGAAAATAGCAGAGCCGTCGCTGAGACTATGGTTGGGAAGTTATCAGGAAGCAAGTTAGAGAACCTGATCAGAGCCTTTCAGCTCTCGACGTGTTGAATCTTGCTCTCGTGCCATTAAGATGACAAGCCATGTGAATCGCATTAGGACATCTTTGACAGTTGAGGGACATTTGCAAAAACCACCCTTCCAAGAAGAATGTGCAACAGTAAACAGGCAGCGCTTTTTTCCCCTTTCTTTTTCTCTCCCTCCCTTTGCTTCGAGGCTAAACATAGTGCTGACATTTTAAAAAAAGCAAAGAACACACAGACCACATTACTGACCACAGGGGAATTACTCTGTGTACTGAGGAACTCCCTGTCAACATGCTCACACACACACACACACACACACACACACGCTGATGGGTTTTGAATTGTAGATGTTGGATGGGACCCCAAGGGTCATCTAGTCCAACCCCCCACAATGCAGGATAAACATGAGTTTCTATTTTGCTCTTTTACAAATTTATAATCCACACTTAGTACAACGTATAACTATAAAGCCAACGAAAGATTCCCCAAACCTCATCCAGCTGTCAAGTGACTGAGGTCACTGATGTTTTCAACTGACAGGTGGGAGGACAGGGTTCAATTCTGCACTGGCTGTGCGATCTTGATCCCAGCGAAGAACAGGATCCTGAAGCCAAGGCAGCAAGGTTTAATCGCTACTCATCATCTGAGAAGGGATTAAAGCCCTGTGCAAAAGCACCCTTTGAAGCCACTCTCGTGATAGAGCTACTTCAAATAAGCTTTAGCAAAGGCTTTCAGACAGTGCCTCTGCTCCCATTTGCTCAAACAGGACTGCAGAAACTGTCTTAAAGCTGGTTGCCAAACCACTCTCGGAAACAACCTTTCCCCACCCTACCCGCTTTAAAAATTGAGGGGAAGTCTCGAGATTTAGAGAAATCTCATTTTACGGATATGTATTTGGTATTGTAATAAATTTATACTTGCATCTTAAAAAGCAGAGACATCACCTTGGCAACAAAGGTCCGTATAGTTAAAGCTATGGTTTTCCCAGTAGTGATGTATAGAAGTGAGAGCTGGACCATAAAGAAGGCTGATCGCCGAAGAATTGATGCTTTTGAATTATGGTGCTGGAGGAGACTCTTGAGAGTCCCATGGACTGCAAGAAGATCAAACCTCTCCGTTCTTAAGGAAATCAGCCCTGAGTGCTCACTGGAAGGACAGATCCTGAAGCTGAGGCTCCAATACTTGGCCACCTCATGAGAAGAGAAGACTCCCTGGAAAAGACACTGATGTTGGGAAAGATGGAGGGCACAAGGAGAAGGGGACGACAGAGGACGAGATGGTTGGACAGTGTTCTCGAACATGAGTTTGACCAAACTGCGGGAGGCAGTGGAAGACAGGAGTGCCTAGCGTGCTCTGGTCCATGGGGTCACGAAGAGTCGGACACACTAAATGACTAAACAACAACAAAATCAAATAAATAATGTTTTTTTTAAAAAAAGGAATAAATGTATAAACGGGCAAGCATTTTGCCTGGACCCACCCCCTTTGAAAGGATGTTTACAAAAGGCTACTTGAAAGTGAGAGCAATCACAGCTTCAAAGAGATGAATCACTTGACATCACTATGACATCAAGTGACTGACAATTGAGCAGCCCCGCCCACTTGTCCATTTTGGCCCAATAGGGGTGGGGAAGATAAAGATCTCGCCCTCCAGCCTGGAAACAATCCCCACCTCTGAATGTACTTTGCTCAATGGACCAATGGTCTGACTCAGAATAAGGCAGAATTCTACATTCCCCCCAAATGTATGCATCTGAGATTGCTGGAGTGGACAGAACGAGGAGAGGCAAATAATGGAAAATCCAATTAGGGTAAGAAGTACTTAGAGTTTATATTCTGCAAATGGTTGGGTCCCATGTCAACAACACAGTGCATGGACGGAAAGGTTCTTCCCCCTCCCTGCGGGCCGTTTTATCCATTTGCCGGATTAATAATTCAAGGGAGAAGAGCCCAGCAGTGGCTCCACGATGCTGTTGGCAAGGCTTTGATGAGCAGGCCTCCAGCCGCTGGGACATGCATTTCCTGACCTCCTTTCTGCCACCGACTCAAAGGCAGCAGAGGACAGATATTGTTGAGGTGCATTTTCCACTGGGGGGGCAGGGGAAGCCTTCCCATGTGCCTCAAGCAGGCCATCTGGCCAACGACAGGGGCTTCTGCCGCAGAGCCGCTTGGACAGATGTGCAGAAGGAGGTGAAACTGGCCGAGGTTGAGAACCTTCTGACCTACACCTGACCCAGCCTGGCTAATATCCCAGCTGTTGTCTTGTTCTGAGAGGCAGGGCGGACAGGCAGGCTGCATTTGGGCACAAGGAAGGCAAACAGGCAGTTTTCCAAGAGAGAAGGAAGATGCATTTTTTTTCCTTTTTGGTGTTGCTCTCTGACCTAGAAGCAGATGAAGAAGAAGCAGCAGTAGCTTTGAGCTTTGGGAAGGGCCGATAGCCAAATCGTCTGACTGAGTAGAAGGCAGATTCTTGTGACAGGCTTTCCCCCAGAGCTTTTCAGAGCTAACAGATGACTTCTCTATGGCCAGAGTCCAAAGACCTACTTCATACAAATATTCAGGAGTTTTCACAGGCCTGGGCCAAGCAGGGGCTGGAGAGGGCATATGCCCCAGGGTTATGGGGGCAGCAAAACAGCATGTAATATCAAAAGCTGCTAGGAGACAAGACACCCCAAAGTGTCCCTATTTTCCAGGGACAGCCCCAGATTTCTGATTTAATCCCGGAATGTCCCACTGTTGCTTAGGACATGCATATTTTCGTCAGAGAAATGTTGGAGGGTACAGAGTTATGTGACACCTCCAAAGCCAAGGAGATGAGTAAACTATGCAACCTTTAGAAGACATCTGAAAGCAATCTTGTATAGGGAAGTTTTATAATGTTTAATGTTTTATTGAAGACAGGAGTGCCTGGCGTGCTCTGGTCCATGGGGTCATGAAGAGTCGGACACGACTAAACGACTAAACAACAAACAACAATGTTTTATTATGTTTTTATATATGTTGGAAGTTGCCCAGAGTGGCTGGGGCTACTCAGTCAGATGGGTGGGGTATACATGGAATAATAATAATAATAGTAATAGTAGTAATAATAATGAATAATAATAATAATAGGACATCCCTATTTTTATTTACAGATTTACGGATTTACGTATAAGCTAAACAAGCTATAGCTTAGGGCCCCGCTCTCTTGGGGCCCCCCAAAAAAATTAAAGGAAAAAAACTGTTTGTACATTTCTAAAATATAAGATGAAAACGAATAAAATAAAACCTACATACAGCAACAGTGTTTTGTGTTGTGTAGGCTCCTATAATGTAAGTAATCGGCAAAAATAAATACAGTAAATGGACAAAAGTATAAAGATTCACAAAATGTTTAGGGGTATGTGTATCCCTGCGTACCCCCAGAAAAAAAGCACTGGATAGATAGATAGATAGATAGATAGATAAGATGATATAGATATAGATATAGATATAGATATAGATATAGATATAGATATAGATGATATAGATATAGATATGTGATGGGAAAATATGAAATGGCACACTGACGCAACATCATCTAAGCTCCCCACAAACAATTCAGAATGGATGCTCCTTAAACAGTCAACATCGTCTAATCTCTTTGCAGACAAATCAGAATAAATGCCCAAGGCACAGGTTATCTGGAAGCACCAGTGAAATCAGACGACTTTAACTTCCAGCCTCTACCTCTTCAACCAGCTGCTTCCAAACCTCTAGTCATCTTCTCCTCTGCTTGCTTCAAAGGCAACAGGAAAAAATTCTCCATCTGCGACCTTGTGGAGCCACTGGCATTCAGTGCACACAGTATCCTCCAAGGTAGTCCAATGGCCTGGCTTAGTATAAGGCAGTTTCTGAGGTTCCTAAATATTGCCGCTAATAATAAATCAAGTTCCTTTGCCTAGTATAAGGGGAGCAGTTTTCAGTCTCCTTGCATTTAAAGGTTTGTTCCAAGCTGACTTCTGACACCTAAACACAACCTTAATCTTTGCCCGCTGAAAAGGGAGCAATGTATTTATCACATTACTCTGAGGAATCCTGAGGTAAACAGTTGGAAGCTTGTCCAAGCACAGCACATCTGTTGTGGCTTTCTGTCTCTCACAGCTGTTTCTTCTAGGCCAGTCACTTGAAGAATGCAGAGTCCAGAGAGAAAAGAAATCCTAATAACTATTTGCCTCTGTGGGGAGGGAATTCGCCACTTGGGGCTGCCACAAAAAATACCCTCTACCCTGGAGTACTCTCACCTGCTGTCCAACTTCTGAGGACAACCAAGAGGGTCCCCCCTCTGCTGATGTTTACACTGAAGAGGATCTGTAGGGAAGGAGGGGATGTTGCAGATATTTGAGGCTTAAGTCATTTAAGGCTTTAAACACTAGTGTGAGTACCTTTAAAAGGTAAAGGGACCCCTTACTGTTAGGTCCTGTCATGGACGACTCTGGGGTTGCGGCGCTCATCTTGCTTTACTGGCCGAGGGAGCGGCGTACAGCTTGCGGGTCATGTGGTCAGCATGACTAAGCCGCTTCTGGCAAACCAGAGCAGCGGACGGAAACGCCGTTTACCTTCCCGCTGGAGCGGTACCTATTTATCTACTTGTACTGTGACGTGCTTTCGAACTGCTAGGTTGGCAGGAGCAGGGACCGAGCAATGAAAGCTCACCCCGTCATGGGGATTCGAACCGCCGACCTTCTGATCGGTTTAACCCACAGCGCCACCCTTGTGAGTACCTTTAGGGCTGCCATATTTCGAAAAGTAAAAACCAAAATACCCCAAAAGTTGTAAGCTTCTTTTCCAAAGACCCCAATGTTATTGAGCCAAAAAACCACGATTTTTTGATTGACTTGCATAAGATCCAAGACAAAGTGCCGCCTTTCAGAAATTTTCCCCTGACATCAATTTCGCTTTTGAAATCCCAGTAATGTCTAGGAAAATCTGTGCGTGTGGCAGCCCTAGTACTTTAGACTGAGCCCCTAAACAAACTGGCAAATGGTAAATATGCACACTGGAACACTGTTCCCCTTAAGTTTTTGCACTTCTTTGAATTTCACAATATAGTTCCCAGTTTTAAAATGCACACAAAATCAGCATCGTAGGTTATAATGTGTACAAAAATCACATATTTTAGAATACAACGCATTCAGTTTACTGTTCTGGGCGCCACAACTTAAGAAGGATGTTGACAAGCTGGAACGTGTGCAGAGGAGGGCGACCAAGATGTTCAAGGGTCTGGAAACCAAGAGCTTTATGATGAACAGTTGAAGAAGTTGGGCATGTTTAGCCTGGAAAGAAGACTAAGAGATGGCCACAATCAACACCTTCAAATATCTGAAGGCCTGTCACATAGATGATGGAGCAAGATTGTTTTCTGCTGCTCCAGATGGGAGGACCCCAACCAATGAATTCCAATTACAAGAAAGGATATTGCGAGTAAACATTAGAAAGAACTATCTGGAAGTTAAAGCTGTTCAACAGTGGAACGGACTACCTCAGAATGTGATGGACTTTCCTTCTTGGGAGAGGGATTCTTTGGCTGTGATTCCTGGACTGGAGGGGGTTGGACCAGTTTGCCTTGGGTCCCCTTCCAACTCTACAATTTTGTGATACAAAACTTGTAAAAAGATATGTTCCAAAACAATGCAAATGTCTGTAGTCTGTAGGCATATGATACATGTGGAAAAAACAACTGGACTGATCTATTCCATTCCTGTTTGAGGCCCAGTCCTCAAGAACAGTTTCACAGCATTTACTCCCAAGGTAGTACACAGGAAGATAAGACCACATGGGATCCACTCAAGGATAAAACTGGCTGGGAATCTTTCTTCTTCTTTTTTTTTTACAAAAAGGTAACTCTGAAGTAGGGGAGAAATAAGATTCAGTTTGTCTGTAAATTGAACCTATCTAAATCACACCTAAATCACAAGCAGCCTCTTAATTTTTCAAATAATGTGTATTCTAAGTAATGCATACAAAAATACATACAGCATATTGAAGGAAACTGCTTTGCGAAAATGTGCATATTGGGCAAAAATTGCACCAAACATGTATATATATCAGCAGAAATTAGCAGAAATATATTAGCACTAAAGTGCTGGTGAATTTCATGATAACTTTCTCTTTAGAAAAATGCAAACTCAGAGGTGCCTTAAAATGTCCTCCCACCTAATCCTAAATCAAATCCCACTGGGGGTAAAACTCGGACAGCAATAATATTTAATGACCTTAGAAAAATAAAAAGGTGGTACTTCATTACTCATTCATCATTTTTATAAGTTTTCTCCATGTGTCTAATTGTTCAAAAGTGTGCGCCCTGTTAATTTAGCAAGAGATAAAGCATTTCAATGCTCCGGCCATGAGCCACTGATGATATCATTAAATAAAATAAAAAGCAGAAGATAACTACGTTAATATTTACATTAACAGTACTACAATCCAGAAAAACCCAAGGATCGATCCCTGCATTTCTTTAGCCTATAATACCGTTCTTGAGATAAGCCATATCACAGACGGTTCCCCAGATGGTCTGTGCAAAAGGCAATCCTTTGATGGCATGAGTCATCGTCACAAAGAGTGGGTAGATCTTGCAAAAAGGGGTGGAAAAGAAGTCTCTCCAAATATAGAGACAGCCCTGTGTCTAATCAGGAGGTGCAGGAAAATGGGACACGCCGATAGTCAGAAGTTCAAGGCTAATTGGGAAAACGAGATCTACTGCATATTTCAGATGCCCTCAAAAGACACACACCAAGACAACAAAGCTTGTACGGCAGAGTTTGTGGAAGCAGACATTGCCTCCTGACAACTCCGAAATGTAAATAAATGTTACTCTCCTTGACATTATTTTCAGTCATTTTTTATACAGTCATACCTCATGTTACGTCCGCTTCATGTTACATTCTTCTAGGATACGTCCTGCGGCGACCCAGAAGTACCAGAAAGGGTTACTTCTGGTTTTCGCCACTCGCGCATGCGCAGACGCGCAAAGTGACATCACGCACATGCGCAGAAGTGGCGAATCGCAACCCACCTGTGCGCAGACGCGCCGCTGCAGGTTGCGCTCTTTTCATGTTGCGAACGGGCCTCCAGAACGGATCCTGTTCACAACCAGAGGTACCACTGTAGTGCCACATGCTTCTCCGCCGAAGCACAACAGACTAGCTGCCCGTTCAAAAAGGAGTGGTGCCCTCTCTGGGCATACCAAGGCCCCATCTGCACTATACATTTAAAGCAGTATCATACCACTCTAAGCAGCCCACCCAAGGAATCCTGGGAAGTGTAGTTTCTTAAGCGCGCTGAGAGGTGTTAAGAGACCCAAATGACCCTTCAGAGAGCGAAAATTCTCAGAGCGGTTTCACAGTCAATCCCTCTTCCCAGAGAAATCTGGGTATTATTGCTCTGTGAGGGGAAGAGGGGGTCTCCTAACGACTCTCAGCACCCGTAACAAATCACAGTTCCCAGGATTCTCTGGGGGAAGTCAAGACTGTTTAAAGTGGCGGGGTGGTATGGATGAGGCCTTTCTCCGATGCTGTTGATGGGACAGAGTCTTCTGTGGCACTTGAGGGCAAGTCAGCCTGTGGAGGGCAGGGCAGGTGGGACACACAGCTTGGGATGTCCAGCACTTAGCCAAATCTATCTAGATTTATGTCTGTAAGATCAGCGGTGCTTCTTTCAAAGAAAAGGCTTTTAATACTGCAGTGCAGTATCTGAATTTTAATAGACCTGTTTTTTTAAAAAATATTTTATATGGTTTTAATTTTATTCTATTTCAACAGTGGCATTTTCAGCTATTGTCTTTTATGGGTTTCCAGCGTTCTGTATTTTATCCAGGTTGTCTTAACTTTGGTAAGCCACCTTGAGTTTCAGACTGGAGAAAAGGCAAAATATTATTGATAATAATAATAATAATAGGATGGTTGTTATTCCAGCCCTTTCAATATCCAGGCACCATGCAGATTAGATAGATAGATAGATAGATAGATAGATAGATAGATAGATAGATAGATGATAGATGATAGATAGATAGATAGATGATAGATAGATGATAGTTAGATTTGCCTTTAAATGCAAACTGAATCTAATTTCTTCCTCATCCCAGAGGCACCAACTTGCTCCCAAGACTGAGGAGAGCTAATGGAGTGAAAGCAAGCTATGAATATAATCCAGTTAGGGCAAAATGAGCATTATTATTATTATTATTATTATTATTATTATTATTATTTTATTATTATTATTATGTGGGTCTGCCCTCCATTTACAGTCCTATTGCACTAAGTCCTCTCTATTTTCTTTGCACACCTCTGCCACTCTCTTCTGGTACTAATTGGTCGTCCTTTTCCTAAATTATAAAGCTGCAGTGCTTTGGATCCCATACCTTTACCTCTTGCAATGCCTCCTTTAGCTCCTTTTTTTTCCCAGGCTACAGGAAGGGGCATAACTTGACTCCCAATTGATGGGGACCACAGGGCGGGCTTATGGGTTTCAATAAGGCCTCTCCTGAACACTAGCAGAGGAAGAGGGGTGCAGTGGGGGCGGATCGCCCCAGGTGCCATCAATGGGGGGGGTGACAAAATGGAACTCAACGCTGTCCATATCCCGCCCATGCGGGGGGGGGGGGCCTGCCTTGCCTCATGAGCAGCAGCACAGCTTCAAGCGTGGCCGCACACACACACACACACTGAAGGGGGTGGCATTAGGCGCACTGCCCTCCTGCCTGCGACTCCCAAGTCTACCCCGGGCCGTCGGGGAAAGGCAGGGAGGCTGCGCTGCTTTGCCAATGGCTTTCCCCCTTCCTTTTGACAGCTTAGGGGAGGCTTGGGAGTCGCAGGCAGGCGGCGCACCGTTGCCCCGTGCACTCCCAGGCTGCTGGAGGAGGGTAGGGCACAGCTCTCTTTGACGCGGGGGGGGTGGAGAGAGGAAGGCGAAATTTCAATGTGGAGGGGTGGCAAAAAAAAAAAATCTGCCCTGGGTACCACCTGACCTTGCTACGCCACTGCCCCTGACTTTTGCCTATGCAATGTGAGCATGGCACATAAATCTGCCCAGCAATTCTGCACAATCTCAGGGTGTGTGCATATTGCCACTTACTCTGCTTCCAGTCCGACTGAAAAACTGGACGCAGAGGAAGCCCTAATTTGAACAGTCACCGCACATGCGCAGATGAGCACACATGCGCAGGTGACAGCTTAGTGAATAGGAGCAGGGAAACCCAGTATGCATGACATTTCAGGGCACCCCTGCCCTCTCTCAGATATGAACAACAGCATGCAAATTCATCTTGAAACGCAGCAGGGGAGAAATGACCTCACAGCATTTCGAGCTGTTAATATTAACATGCCGTCATGCTCCCTAATTGCCACACAGACAGGTAGTCACACTTATTATTGTGCACTGTTTCTTCCTTGAAGTGCATCTTGAAAGAGTACAGATGCCGGGTGTTGCCTAGCTACAAGACTGGATGCAGATGCAGAAAAATGCCTTCTGTCTCCAGCAACGCTGCTAAACCTATTCTTATCCCACCAAGGCTTCGTGTTTCTCTGTGACTTACTAGCTCAATCCCATTGTGAGTGCCTAGTTGACAGAGGGCCAGTTCTCAAGTTACACCTGTGTAAGCAGAATTAGTGGTGACCTTTCTTTTCCCCCCGAAGGCACACAGGACGGAGGCACACAGGACGGCAGCTCTGAAAAATGCAAGGTCTCCATATTGGTCTGAAAAACAACAGATCTCTCAGCAAAACATCTTGGGGTAATATTGGCATTTGATGTGCTGACCTTTATGGCAGTCAGGGAACCTTTCTTCTGTGTAGGACCGTTGAGCCAATGGTGCGCAGACATCACAAGATTGTACAGATCTCTGCGAGCCACACAGTCTCTGTGGGTTTCATGAAATTAGGGTTCTTGTGCAGCCTGTGGGTTGCAGGTTCCTTACCCCATTGGTCAAATCCAACATGGCAGGCATATTGAGGGTGTGCCTAACTGTACGTTAGTTGCAAACATAGGTTTCATTTTTTCCCCCAGACATTTGAGGAGGTGGGATTTAGAGCAGCGGAGGTCCCAACCCTTTCCCATCCACTGTTAACTCTAAGTTGCCCCATCTCAAGAAGTCTCCTTCACAAAGTTCCCAAAGTGCATAAGATGCATATGCTTTTGGAATTCTAATGGAGGGCAGGAGAGAGATTTATGTAATGATAGCATCATAAATTGGTTCATCTGACTCAGAATTGTTTATTCCATGGGTGACCAACATTATCCCCTTGAGATGTTGATGGACTACAACTCCCATCAACCTCACCCAACATGGCCAATGGTCAGGGGTGAAGGAAACTGTAGTCCAGCAACACCTGGAGGACCACAGGTTCCCCATCCATGCTCTAAAGCAACCTTCTCCATCCTAGTGTCCTCCATTGACCATGGAGTCCAATGACATCTGAAGGATACCATGTTGGCTACTCCTGGTATATAGGATACCTATCTATCTTGGTTGTGCCTAAAATGTAGACAGCAGTTACTTTGGGAGCATGTGCGCCTTTAACTGACTTATTTATCCCAGCACATAATTTGAGAATTACTGCACCAAGAACATGGCAGCAGCCCAGCTGGATCAGACAGAAAAGGCCCATCTTGTCCAGCTTCCCAATTTCCACTATGGCCAGGCAGTCACTCCTGGGAATATAGGGTGTTGCTATAAAAGGTAAAGGTAAAGGACCCCTGGACAGTTAAGTCCAGTCAAAGGCGACTAGGGGCTTGGGGCACTCACTTTGCTTCAGGCCTAGGGAGCCGGTGTTTGTCCGCAGACAGCTTTCCAGGCCATGTGGCCAGCAGGACTAAACCGCTTCTGGAGCAACAGGACACCATGACGTAAACCAGAGCGCACGGAAATGCTGTTTACCTCCCTGCCACCTATTTATCTACTTGCACTTTTTGGCGTGCTTTCAAACTGCTAGGTTGGCAGGAGCTGGGACAGAGCAACGGGAGCTCACTCCATTGCAGGGATTTGAACCGCCAACCTTCCCATCAGGAAGACCAAGAGGAGAGGCTCAGTGGTTTAGACCACAGCGCCACCCACGTCCCTGGTGTTGCTGTATGCCAAGTCAGACTAGTCGGCCACCTATCTCAGTATTGTCTACAACCTTTTTTTTTTCTTTTTTCATAAGGGCCACGCAAGCTTATAGCAGGTCAGACTATTCATCCACCTTACCCAGTATTATCTACCCTAGTGACAGTCAACGTGTTGTCCTGCAGATGCTTTGGACTACAACTCCCATCATCCCTGATCATTGGCCATACTGGCTAGTGCTGGTGGGAACTGTAGTCCAACAACATCTGGAGAGCACTATGCTGCCTGCCCCCGGTCTACCCTGGCTGACAGTGGTTCTCCAATTTCCCCAGAGGTGCCAGGGATTGAACCCAGCCATAGGAAGCTGCCTTCATACCAAATAAGACATTTGGTCCACATACTGCAAGAAGATCAAACCTATCCATTCTGAAGGAAATCAGCCCTGAGTGCTCACTGGAAGGGCAGATTGTGAAGCTGAGGCTCCAATACTTTGGCCACCTCGTGAGAAGAGAAGACTCCCTGGAAAAGACCCTGATGTTGGGAAAGATGGAGGGCACAAGGAGAAGGGGACGACAGAGGACGAGATGGTTGGATAGTGTTCTCGAAGCTACCAGCATGAGTTTGACCAAACTGCGGGAGGCAGTGGAAGACAGGAGTGCCTGGCGTGCTCTGGTCCATGGGGTCACGAAGAGTCGGAAACGACTAAACAACAACAACAACAAGCTCAGCATTCTTCACCAGGCATGGACAACCTGTTCCCCCGCCCAGATATGGTTATACTCCAGCTTCCATGATCCTTGGCCATTGGCCATGCTGCATGAAGCTGATGGGAGTTGGAGTCCAGAAACATCAGGAATTCCAGATCTTGATCTCGATCATGCTGGAAGAACCTCAGGCCTCTCTATCCGGTCCCTCAGGCCTCTCCTCTGGCCATCTTCCTTGGGCTGTGCCCTCCACAACAGCTGGTTCTGGTGCCTGCAAGCCATGCCTTCAGTGAGGATCTTCCTTTGCAGCTTGAGTTCAATCCAAGCCGCAAAGGAAGAAATGAAAAAAGGGGAGAATGCACGTTCCAGATTCTTTCCTTTGAAGTCAGGTCCCCGAAGACCAGGGTCACAGCTCCTCTGGTTGGTTCCAAAACCAACAGCTCTAAAGCAGAGTCATTTAGCATCTCTTAGAAAGTTCGCCTCTTGACTGGAACAAGCGATTGCCCCAGTCCAGGAGAAGGGAATTGAAGTCACCCCTTTCTCTGCCTCCTGGATTTCATCCTCCTTCTCTCAAGAAAGTGCAATAGCTCAGTGGCTTAGCACACAGAAAGTCCCAGATTCAATGAGCATCAGCAAACGCACCACTTCAAGTTTGCACTTATCTGCCGTCAGAAATGATTAATAACCAGGAGAGTTGAAGCATCACCCCATTCACTCCCTAGGCCAATTGTGACGCTAATTGCAGAATAAACTATCTTCTCTCTCTCTCTCTCTCTCTCTCTGTGTGTGTGTGTGTGTGTGTGTGTGAGAGAGAGAGAGAGAGAGAGAGAGAGAGAGAGAGAGACAGTCCGGTTTATAATACCAAATACCGGAACAAGCTTTTCTTTTCTTGCAATTCCTTTAACCGCTGGATTTTCTGTCCCACCAAACCTTGAACACCAAGCCAAGAGGCATTAATTCAACTCTTCCTGTATCTCCATTGAGAATGATTCATGATCCTGGAAGGCCAAGTCAATCTCAGTACACTCCCTGGGCTGATGCTGAAGCTTAATCACCAGGAACAAAAAAATCTTTCTCATTAAATACACAGAGAGACACACTCCCAGGCTTCGGTTCATCCTAGAACGCCGAATAGCAAACCCACATTTTAAAAGGCATGCAGATAGATCAGCCACACACACAAACACACACATACACCATTTTCTGCTAGATGCTAGAAATACAAAGGCGCAAACGAAGTCACAGATAAACAAGTCTTCCTTGATGCGTTCTAGTTACATCACCCCTTCCAAGCTCACGCAAACAGGCACACATCTCCAGAGAGATGTGTACCAAAAGGATGCTGAAGAGGTCTGGACCACAGCAAGGAAGGGAAGTATCAAAAAGGAAGACAACAACAGCATGCTTTTAATGTCAAAAGAAGGATCCCAGAGAAACGCGGGCTGACTGTGCCATCTCCACCTGCCTGGCCCTAAAGCAGATGTGGTCCTAAGTCTAGATGCATTCCAGTTCCATCATCCCTGGCCAATTGGCATGATGGTGGATGCAGCCCATAAACATGCTGGAGAGGTCACAGATTTCCCAATCGTGCCCTAAAGCACCACAAGGGAGACCAAGTCGGGTTGTCTGACCATCCACTGGGTGTGGAGCCTTGCTTCAAAACACATGCACCCACCACGCCATCGCCACCATCACACAGAGAGTGGATGCCACCAGAATCCATCATGGGATTTTTCTTCCAGCCCCATTAAAGAGGAAACAGAGCTCCTTTTTCTCCTCCCTGCCTTCCCCAGTGTCAGCGACCGACACAGGCAGACTGGTAGCAAAATACACACGCAAACACATACAATGAACCTTCCACAAGTCCCTCAAGATTAGGGGCTGACAAAGAGGATGAAGGGGGTGGGGGTGGGGTGGAGAATCGGTCCTTCCTTAAAGCAGCAAAGAAAAGGGATGTGCCTCTTTTTCGGGGGGAGGCGCCCTGATTTGATATAGCATCATTTGGGAATAAAAAGAGCCACAACCGAGAAAATAAAATAATAATCAAAAAATCAGCCTCACCTGTTTTTCTTCTGCAAAGGGACACGTTGGGAAGCGGCAAGAGATGTCCAGCAGGGGATCGGAGAGGAGGGGAATAAAACGGGAAGGCATTAGCAACGTCCAGCATCAGTCCCAGTAATAATAATAATAATAATAATAATAATAATAATAATAATAATATAGATGCATGAATGCAAACGCACCCATTAGGAGCCTTACCTGGGTTGACCAGCTTGCTTTTGTATCGTATGGCCGTGCTCATCTTTCTCTCTTAAGGGATCAGAGGGGATTGCACCAGATGTAGCTTCCTCCGGAGAGGCGAGCCACCCTCTTTTCCGATCTGCTGCTCTCCCTCCGGTCCTCCCTCCTGACTACAAAAAGGTCTCTCTCTCTCTCTCTCTCTCTCTCTCTCTCTCTGCATGCGCCTGTCAGCCAGAATCTGCTGCCGCCGCCGCTGCTGCTGCATTAGAGAGGCTGGCCGAGGGAGAAAAATTAAAAAAAGGAAGGCGGGGCAGGATGCGGCCCAGCCCTGCCCACAGCCCTCAGCCAATCAGAGCCTCGCCCTGAGCCACCCTATCTGCATCCTCCGCCTCCTTTTCCAGCCTGCAAGCGAGCGGCCAGGGCTGGCCGTGTCTCCAGAGCATCCTCCGTTCTCCCTTTTGTTATTAGTATTACTCTTTCGCAGACATCAGATGGAAAGGGGGGGCGGGTAAGCGAGGAGCATGGCTCTGGGCCCCCCTTCCAAGCTGGAAGCCCTCAAGCATATCGCAAGGAAACAGGGTCTTCTGTTTAGGTGTTGGGTGGTGATAGATGATAAAGTGTGAGTCTGCCTTATAAGCAGTGGCGTAGCGTGGGGGGTGCAGGGGGGGCCGGCCGCACTGGGCCCAACATCTGGGGGTTAGGGTTAGGGGGCGCAAATCCACGGGTTAGGGGGTGCGAATTACTTGCCTTGCCCCGGGTGCTGACAACCCACGCTACGCCACTGGTTATATGTGTTTTTATGACACATACATGCATGCCAGTGTGGAGTAGTGGTTAAAGTGCTAGGACATTGGGACGCGGGTGGCGCTGTGGGTTAAACCACAGAGCCTAGGGCTTGCCGATCAGAAGGTTGGCGGTTCGAATCCCGCGACAGGGTGAGCTCCCGTTGCTCGGTCCCTGCTCCTGCCAACCTAGCAGTTCAAAAGAACATCAAAGTGCAAGTAGATAAATAGGTACCGCTCCAACGGGAAGGTAAACGGCGTTTCCCTGCGCTGCTCTGGTTCGCCAGAAGTGGCTTAGTCCTGCTGGCCACATGACCCGGAAGCTGTACGCCGGCTCCCTCGGCCAGTAAAGCGAGATGAGCACCGCAACCCCTGAGTTGTCTGTGACTGGACCTAATGGTCAGGGGTCCCTTTACCTTTATCTAGGACATTGGGAGGTTGGGGTTCAAATTCGCAGCCAGCCACGAAGCCCACTGGGTGACTTTTGGGTCAGTTACCCTTGCACGGCCCGAACTGCCTCACAAGGTTGTTGTGAGGGTAAAATGAAGAGGGAGAGAAGTGTGCATACCACCTTGGCCTCTCTGGAGTTGGGAGGCTGGATATAAATGTAAGAATAAACAAATAAACTGCTTTTTGGTAAACCGCTCTGAGGTTGTTTCTACAATTGAGCGGTATATGGATTTTATTAAGTAAAAAAACAAAACAGTGTAAGCCTGTGCATGATTTTTAAAGCATCGCAAGTCTGTTCTGAATGTTTGAGCGATGATGTGTCAGTCACTAAAACCGTCTATTTACTACAGTGACAGACAAAGCAGACATTATGGTCTTAAAGGCAGAAGCCAAGGCTTTAATATCTCTGTTTTGCTAGCCATTGTAATTCTCTCTCTCTCTCTCTCTCTCTCTCTCTCTCTCTCTTTGTGTGTGTGTGTGTGTGTGTGTGTGTGTGTGTTTGTGTGCAAGAACTCAAGATACACACAAATGTATGGAAGTTTATTTTGAGGGGGGAAATATTGATATTAGAATATAAGAGGATCAGTAAATGAGTAAAGAAACTAACTGATTGCAACAGCCTTATGCAGCAGGGTTGGCTGGGAGTAAGTCTCTCTGAATTCAATGAGGCTTACTTCAAAGTAGACCTAAAAATGCTCACAGTGTTTGCATATTAATATGATTATTAAAGTTAATTCATCAGTTGCTCTTTAAACCACTGTCTCAAGGTGATTTGCATCTCTCTCCTTTCTTTGGCAATCCCGCGTAGCCGAGTAAGATTATCATGAAGAAGGTCTTAACAATGAGTCCGTAAGTGACTGTGGGGGCCAATTCTGGATCCACACGTCCTTCCACAGTGGGGACATAGGTTTTCCAGGTGGGAGTTGATCACAGTGAGGGTTTTCCAAACGTGCCTTCCTCTTAGCATGTTTCTGCCTTTCGTCCTGAGTTCAAGCATCTTCAAAGCCCATGACACCTTTGGTAAAGGCTGTACTCCGATTGGAGCATTCACAGGCCAGTGTTTCCCAGTTGTCGGTGTCTATACTACATTTGCCTTGAGAGTGTCTTTAAACCTTTTGTTGGCCACCAGCATTACACTTTCCATTTTTAAGTTTGGAATAGAGTAGTTGCTTTGGAAGACGATAATCAGGCATCCGCACAACATGACCAGTCCAACGAAGTTGATGCTGAAAAATCGTTGCTTCAACACTGGTGCTAAAAGGCTCTCCTAGTCACTGAAGACACCTGTTCCTCCAGTGACAGAGTTGTATCTAAGAGCATCTCCAAATTACACACCTGGCAGAGTGTGACCCCATCAAGGTCACTTACCTTTCCCTGACCAACATGCTTGCTGGACAGCAGCACTAAAACAGCCCTAGAAGACCAATGTGTGTAACCTAGATGAGTTATAGGTGACATTTTCAAAGAAAACATACATGCATGAGACTAAGTCATAGAGTTGACCCATTGAAATTAATGAAACTGAGTTAGTCACACTCATCAGTTTCAATGGGTCTACTCTGAGTAGGACTAGCATTGGATACAACCCAGAGGTGCCTGAACTTGTTTGGAAGTGGATCAGAGCCTTTATGGGCCTCCACATTGGAAATTAAACTATTTCCCCCTGGAAATAAACTATTTTCCCCAGCCAAACCCTCCTTCAAATTAGCAAGGGTTGGTTTCTCCACCTTGGGCAATCTTGCAAATGGGCTATTGGGTTTCAACTGCTTGCATAGGGAAGGGAGGTTCTGGCAAAAGAAAAGTGTATTTGGAAAGGGACTTGACTGGCGAGCTTGCTCCTAGGACAAGTCTTGAAAGTTTAATATTCCCACCCCCCACGCCCGTGTAACAAGAGTGGAGGCTGGGAAACCAGCATCCCTCTACAACTTTGCTCTCCTGGACGCATGGCATGCCAAGTCTATTTTTAAGGCTGGCAGCTTAATCATTTCTAAAACTCAAGCTTGGAAAGGAATTTGCCACCTCCTCCTCAAACCTGTATTTGCCGAGTGTCGGCAATGTTGACTGGAGCCGTACAGAACAGCGGGTCTTTTGTACAATTCACCTTGTGGGGGGTGGGGGGGTGTTTGACAGCACACAGCACGGGTTGGGTCAAAGTTTACATCAGCGATCTGTTGGTAGATCATCTGGGTGACCTGCAGGAGATCACCAAGGGTTGCTGTTTCAGCAATAGCAACAAATCCACTCTCCTGCACCTAAATTAGATTTCTGAAATGAAGAAGGCTTGCGGGTAACCAGGAGAGGATATGTGTGTCTGTGTTTTTAAGGACTGTGAGCTCAGCTCTGGTACTGAAAATGAGATTGCTAGGCTCAAGATGTGCT